GTGGATACGTTTACGTGTGTGTGCATATATTGATATATATATATATATATATCACGTACAACAAATTTATGATAGATAATGATCGATTGTTTCATGACTGACAAATATGACTTTTCCACTTCTTCGGAGAATTGGCAAAGAGGACATTGGAGAATAGGGGGATCGAGGCGAGTGGATGGGAAAAGGACTATTTTTGATTGCAGTGCTCGATTAATAGTAATGATAATTATTAAATGATGGCAAATAATGAAGTATGGTAATTTATAATATAATCGCATTATTACACTTTTGAAGCATATAATTGTCCACTACAGCCCGTACTAAAATATGTCCGCATGCACACGATTACCAGAATGAGACGCTTGCTGATACTTTATAACTATGCAATAGATAATTACCAAGGCCAGTTAATTGCATGTCACTTAACGTTAGCATGTATCCCTTGTAGGATCGGGCAAAGGCTATTTTCAATCGTACTATACGATCAGAGAAATGTAGCATGTAAATAAAAGGTGGCGATTTATTGCGGCACAAATGTGACAAATATTCTAAATTCATCATTTTAAGGATACCTACAGAAAATAAAAGGACAATTGATCATTCGAGTCAATGCGAGCTCGTGTAATAGATGAAAACGCGTTATATCACGAAAGGCCTGATCTGTCCATCGGCGTCTCAAAATAAAATAATCAGTGACATATGGAACAATTGTCACGTAGATCCTTTGCAACTACGCACCCACTTAAAGTAAAACCCAGGCGTTTAATTTAAATAAAATGGATCAGAAGAAAATAATCGGACACAAAACAGGTTGCACTAACAGAAAACATATAGGTAAAAAACAAACGTACCTGGGCAGAGATGAAATTTAAATACGTTGCCACAATGCTTTATTGAATGTGCAGAGTCTGCTGGAATGGCAGGTTAGCAGTAGCCAAAGTGAGAGTGGCTGTTGAAAATGAAGGCAAGGAATCAGCAACAACAGATTCCTCAATGTCGTTAGTAGAAACATGTAGATACACCTCTTTTATTTCTTTGACTGTTCCCAATTCATGACTTAAATGATAAACTTCTGCCTGTGAGTCTGAGACATTTTGCATAGCGTGTATCGGTTACGCAAACACATTATTAAATAAAATCTCATTTTTTGAAAGCAATAGATATCAGGATGCGCTTGATGGTAAAGTTAATTTTAATGAGGCATGCGCGCTGCACAATATTCAACGGATTCCCGGCTCCATCATGAGTGCCAAATTCAAACTAATAATAAATAAACCATCCACATCCTGTGTTTGTCATTACATGAGTTCGATGTTGAAGTTTTCCTCTCCATGTTCTTCTGTCGATGGAACAAAAAGCCACACTACATAGGTTTATTCTCAGAATGATATACAGGCAATCAAACATGCTTACACTTTAAGAAGTATACTTACTTGTATGCGTGAGGTACTTTGTTCTCAGGAATCGGGTCTATTAAAGTCTAAAGTACTAGCCCTCAGGAATATCTCAGATGATTTTATTTTAAAATGGATTGTCGTGCCGACTATCACGGGAGAACGGATAATAAGCGGCACTTGGGATTTAGCTAGTATCGATGGAGTGTGGCGCCTCCTACTCTAGTTAAATATCTGAATACAGTTAGTGACCTCGTTAATCCAAGGCTTTTCACTTACAAACTATTTTGTCGTAGATGACGTAAATCCTAGATAGATTAACCGTACTCGAGCCTGTTCGGCGGTTACTATCGTGGGATGAAATCGATAGTCTTTCGTTTGGGGTACAATGGTTTATGAATAAAAGTAAATGCTTCTCCAAAATAACGATTAAATATCTTAATTCGCCACTCAGATAATCGCGGGACAAGAGAGCAATTATCCTTCATTGATATACGGATTTAGCGGTTTCTCAATATATCAACTAATTTAGAGAATAGGGTGTCAATAATATAGGTTTAGAGTAAATGTGATACTCGTTTATTAACAATAATATATGAAATAAAAAGAATATTAGGAATCAAATTCACCATGTGAAACACACAGACTAGCTGAAATCTATGCTGCTTATATACTTTTCGATCGGACTAATTGAGCTATTTTTAGCAGCTATTTCTAATATTCTATCGATTGTTCTCAGTATATATTTTGAGTTTTCGAGGGTTTACATTTTGACATCTGCAGTACTGCATGTTACACTACCGATTTCTGCAGCTGCGCTGGTGTTACAGTTGATTGACATGCAGAAATTCAGGAGAGAATACGTCACTGATTTGCATGGCATCAATGTGTCAAAAAAAAGACCGGAATAAGTTTTTCATTCACTGTGTCACAATGAATGGACCAAATTACATGCTGAAAACCGACAGATTTTATTAACAGCAATTAATAAGAGATTCTCTTCCCATAATTTTCTATAACAAGTTCACAGCGACGTCTCATTGAGCCCACGAAATTTATTACAACAGTATCCGGAATATTCCTCAACTCCACCATAAATTGCTCCAGTTTACTGATATTTGAGGCCTATAAGTTTTCAATAGAGTTTAAGTCAGGACTATTGGATGCCAGTCCATGACTTCTGGAGCATTCTCATCAAGAAAGGCTTTAGCAAGACGACCACTATGCTTGGGGTCATTGTCTTGCTGAAACCTCCATTTACCCACTCCGAGCATTTGGTTTGTCGAAAGCAAAACAAATTTGTTTTCCCATTATGCAAAATCCACCCCACTCCATCATTTTTGTTCGATCTTTCGGCACACAACGAACTGGCCATACGCCCTTATGCCAACGTTCTACAGTGTTCCGAAAGAGTTGGAATGCTGTCTTATCTGAGAATACAGTCCGACTCTAATCGTCGTTAAGATGCTTGTGAGCATTAGCAAGCATAGGTGTGCTCTTGGGAGAGCTTTTTTATATCCAAAGTCATTTAGATGGTTGGCAATTGTTGCATGCGTCACACTTACGCCTATTTTTAACAACTTTTTTGCCAAAGTTCGTGTTGACAAGGAATAATTGTAAATAGCCGATTATGCTATTTACTACGGAATTATTTGATTGGTCAAAATTCACTCCCAAACACCAACTTGAGTACTAGAGTGATGAATATTCGCAGGGTGATATAAAATTCATTATATAGACAACCTTTCTCCCAGGCGGAAAAAGTAAGTTGGTTACTGCTGAGGGTAAAACTGAAGTGGAACTACTTCCTTGGGGTGGCTTCATCTCTTGTAATAATAAAATATTAATATCCGTTATTGATTATTGGAAATGTTATATTGTTTTGTTCTCTACCGATACTTTGATGTAAGAATTCCCTAGTGACTAATAAGACATTATTTTTTTTCCCACGGAATATTAATAGTGGCATCCCTTTCGACTTTGGCAGAGATAAATTGAAATTCCAACAACTCGCAATATACGTGCTAATTGCTTTCCCAAAAAAATTAAAATTCCAGTCACACGAACTTCTTTTGCTTTTACGATGCCGTTCTTTAAGCGGCCATTAAGTGGGTCAACATTATTGTATACGGTTGGAATTGATCCTTTGTCAAATATGGTTTTACTTGTATCGGTAGTGTGTAATCCGTTCAGCATTAATTGTAGCGTTACCGAATAATGCTCGTCGTTATTAACGTTAAAAGAATTATCTTTAAGTGGCGTAAATTTCCCTGAGATTTGGTACACTCCGTTCTCTTGAAGTTGCTGCGTGACTTCAGATGATGTCTCCCTCTATTAGATTGTTTTTCGGACGTGTAGGTGGTAAATTTGTAAAGCTGATATCCGTCTTTCTTGATATGGCAGAGCCCTTTTAAACGGGTTTGTTGTTATAAGTTCGTCCGCAATAGAAACTATGTACATAATAGCCGCGAGAGTTGCAATCATTTTGTTCAATGGTGGTAATCAGTAATCAGTAATAATGGGGTTGTGGATAATAGATAGCAAAGAGCTTTAAGATGGGAATAATCGCAATTGTCCTTTATTTATAACTTTGAGGTGAGTATTTGAGTTAATAATAAACTATAATTGATTTTGTTTTATACTTTACTGCTTTTTATTGGTGTCTTTCTTGATAAACTGACAAATTTACTGTTAGTGCGAACAATTTGTTGGTTATTTTTGGACAAAGCTATTTATTAATTGAGAAGTGAAGGAGTGAGCTTGATTCGAATTGTGTGTTGTGCGCTTATGATTTGGCGAATAATAGGTGTATGGAAAACGTTCTTGAACAATCATTGCTTACAAGATAACAATATAATTGCTGTAAATAGTGATCAGCTGATTGGTATGATATTATTGTATAAATAAAATACTCTATCTCCCTTCGAAGGCCTACACCTTAGCATTTTGCCGTTCCCTTAGTGGATTGGAAACATATTTATTATTGAGCGCTAACTGGATCGAAATCTTATATTCCTATTGGCTACCGCATCAATATAATGTACGTGTACAATACTTGTTATACAGTATACAGAAGTTATTCAATAGCAAGTCTTTCGAAACAATTATCTATAGTCATAAACCTTCTTTAATCTGTTCAAATTACGACTATTACCTACACAATAACTATTTCTATTATAATAGCTATTTCTCGATTTGGGCAGATTTTCGGTCAATTACAATAGAAATAATAATAAATGTCAAAAAATGTTCTGTAACCAGTGGTCGAATTATCGGCAGTTGACTGTAGATATTAATATTCTCTAATACATATTAATATTGTCAATATATTTAGATAACCAATAAGTATTTTATTTAGTCATTAACTCTCTTAATGTTGCATACTGCGCACTATGAATAAGCAGAATGTCTTGAGCGAATGAACTTTGTCTGTTGTATCAATCTGTATTAGTATAGCAACATAGTTGAGTTAACGGAATGATTACAAATTATTAGTATAAAAATTTTGGCGTCAATCGCCTATTTCAGTTTACAACACTTGCCATATCACGTGTTAAGAGCATAAAATTTTGAGCAACATGCAAATGAGAGAAGCGAACTTGCACTATGAGTAGCTTTGACCTCGACAATGAACCAGAAGAGAAAGCAAAGCTGATCAAGTATGTACATTAAGAAGAAAAGCGTCAATTCTCTAACGGAGAAAGTCTTTGTATACTAATTTTGTTTGATTTATATTTAAAAATACATAATAGACAAGTCATTGACCTTCAAGAAGGACTAAAAGGTATGTTTACATCGGTTGGTACAAGTAAACGGATGCTCTTTCTCACGCCTTTTCACCTTTTTTTCCCCTAGCTCTTATAGACAGGGTAGAATCAGTAAAGAAAGACCATGAAAAAATACAATCAAGCAATCAGATCTTACAGACATATATAAATAATTTAATGTCATCGAGTGTGTTATCGTCTTTAGGAGCAAACAGACAGAGCCTTTTGGAAAAGTATGAGAAACGAAAGAATGCGAATGGTTGAGAAGAGAGAGGGAATTTCACAGCGGACTTCATAGAAGTGAGTAGTGCTCAGTTGTCGAGTGATAGTACATCTCGGTGCACCTGCCTTATTCTCGGCGAATATTTATTTTAGTTTACTGACGATTCAATCTCAAAATTATACCATGTGTATAGGATATTACATCACATCAGCCAACGAAATACATTGTCAACCCAATCACGTATACATTGATCTATATTTAATTAATTAATGCGATATTTGAATAGCTCCCGATCGTTTTGTTCAGCACAAGAAGCATACTGGACGCCACAGGTCTGTTTACCAATATTGGAATTATTTACTAAAATATTATTCCAAATAATTTCAATTACGTTCCCTCCCGCTTTTCGATCTCATCTTACGCGTCCATCGTAATCTACCAGTTTATCATTCTCCGGCCCTTAACACACAGGGAGACACGAAATGGTCGACGATAGATTCACGTTACTTTGACATTGTAGCATCGTAAAAGAAAAATTTCTGGTACACATCTAATATTATAATGTCCTTGTACAAATAAATCAAAGTTCAAATAATCACATCGTGCGTATGCTACTAGCGAGCCAGCCACTTTGGTGCCCTCTAGAATGACCCTGCATTAACCTACACACAAGAACAATATGTCACATTAAGCAGCCAATGCACACAATAATCAAGCAGATGATCCGACAAAGCGTGTTGCTCACCTTATCTTTGAGCAAAGCCAACCATTGATAATAACTCATAACTGTATCAGTACGATCCTCTATAATATGTGATAGGAACCACAACCTCAAAGCAGGATCACCATCCTCTTTGACTATGTATAGTTGTGGATAGTATATCCCTCGTCTTGATTCGCGTGTTTTGCCAATTATTGCGTTTATCTTTTGTGAGAAATCGGTTTCAAGCACGGGTAAGGTATTCTTCGAATTGGAATAACGTATACAAGTGTTAGTCAATGGATATACTCGGATTACCACACACACAATTTGATGAATCTTCACCTTGCCGCCACGAATAGCATCGTACGAAGCCACGCCCAGTAGATCTATACATAACTGTGGAGATACTTCCCGCCCAAACCAGATAAAGATGTTCTGGCCGTCTTCCAGCATATAACATCCATGTCTTTCCAGTTTTTCAATTGTCAGGTTCATCGATAGTGGCATGATAATGCCGTCGGGACCATACGTTCCTACCTACGTACATGGATAGGTATGTCATTACAAGTGCCAAAGAATGCAAAGAAAAAGCACAACCCTTCACAAACCTCTGGTGGCATATTATGTAGAGAATAGAAGCATGGGTATAAATAAGGTATCAATAATTGTGATGGCATTGTTCTTAGAAGACACATAGCATAAGCTCGAAGATCCGTCGGAATCTGCGAGCTTTGACGAAGACCAACCTGAATGCACAGATATATTCAAGTTAGTAAAAACTTATACTAAGCCTGCTTCCATAATCCACAAACGTTCACTAACTCCTGTGAAGCACTTTTTCCTCTTCACATATTCATCTTACAAGGAATGCGTACATGTTTTAATAATGCAAGACTTAACAAAGGTAATAGTTTTAAATTATCACAGATTTGTAATTGTGGAGAAGCACCGCTCTGGGTTGAAGTCAATTGTGACTTGTAAGCGCCCAATATATCTATGGTCTTATTCGTCAACTTTTCTCTAGCATCCTCCAGTTTCGCCGTGAGAGAACTCTCTACCGCTACATAAACAAAGAAATTGTTAGCTATTGAATCTCATCCGCATCACACGAATACAAGTCGGAACAAGTTACTCAACCCTTATTAGCCAAATAACTTGCAATGGCGATCTGATCTGCTGATGCAAAAAGTTCACTCATGCTATTTGTTACTGGTAGACATAACGTTAATACACGGATACGCCTTTCACCTATAGAGCATGTTACAATCAAAATATTAATAAAAACTCCCATCAGCCTCCAACCAACAAAATATTGATTAACATTACTATGCACCGTAACATGTTGTGTGTAACAAGGCGGTCTGAAAGCAAGCGAATGGATTAGTTAGGTTTTCTTCAATTGCCATTTCAATGACATACGAATGATCTCGTGATACTGTCGGTAAACCCAGCAAGTCTGTTTGTCGGATGAAGAAATTGCCGTGGAATGCATTCAGACGGATACCTATCAAAAACGTCATTGAGTGTTTACTGTTACGTAATGTATTCATGTAGCACAGTCATGCTTACCTTTTGACGCTCTGACACGCACCACAGCTTCTAATCCGATAGGACTTGCTAAATACTCTGCAAATTCATGAGCAAATTTCAAAGCGTCTTCTGATCGACTTGCGTTAAAAGCTGGATAGAAATATGTCTGGCCACCAATGTACCGCGGACAAGAACCTTCACAATCACAAACATATATCAATTATTACCCGGATAGTGGATTACTGACATTACTTGCTAAATCGATTAGAACCCCCATTTTCTTACTCAGTGTAGCTACGTCGGAATACTGTGAGCCGAGTAAGAACATGTCGACAGAAATTTGCACACGGGAGCAATCCACAGCAAACGTCTTGTAGAATGAATCAGCAGGCTGTAATAGTTGTGATTCCTACAATAAAGAAAACGTTTAATGAATTGTACGCAGTGTAGAAAAATAAGTTTGCTTAAAAATACCTTTGGAGTTCCCAACGCCTTTGGGTCTTCTCGTGGCTTTAATGCCCCTGGGTTTACATTAGGCAAACTTGATTGAATTACAGTAATTTTCCCTCCGATTGGCGACTTTGGCACAATAAAATTGTCAGAAATATTAGTGTAACTGACTAACACAAGCTAACGTCTAACTGTTCCTAGTAATACTCACTATTAGTTTATATGCAGCCAATAGTGCTGGTCCTAATGCATTTCCAACGACCTGAGTATTTTTGAACATATCTCCCAGTCGTCTCAGTAACGATTCCAAGGCATCACGCGCTTCGAATAGATTGACTAGCAAATCATCTGGTTGTGGTAGGAACACGTCATCGAGGTCAGATACGACGAGCATCTGAGGTTCGGATGAGGAAGACTTTACACACAAATTTGGATCCAATGATGTTTATCGATTAATATAAGTAGACAAGATATATGAAAAGACGTAATATTGCGTTAGTAATGAAAATTTTACCGGAATACTATAAAAGTGTAGCGCTACGTCTACAGTAATAATTGCAATCTTCGTACGGTTATCCTCATTTGGTAGGCGGTCCAAGGATTCCAGAATAGTTCTTGCGGCGGTGGCAACTGCACCTGTTTGTTGTGAATGAACGTTGCACACAGTGAGATTAACAGGCTATATGTTAGTGATATATCAGACGATTTCATACTACCTCAGAAAAGTAGTCACGTACCTGATTGGACAGCTGGATATGACACATCTATGACGAATACGTAAACAGGTGGCTGAGGCGGTCGAACCTTTCTCATAAAATCATTTGGCAAGGGGGTGAGTTTCAACGCTTTCGTGCTCTAACATTCGACAAAGATTAATGATAGTTTACCATATATTCTGTGGGTGCAACAAATTCCACAACGGCGTAATTGATTTCTGATCGTTTCCATCTGTCAGCTTTATTATTCGCGTGTATATCCCAATCAAATTGATTTGGTACTAAATACACGTATTCGCATTAGCGTTTCGTGTCAGTTCGTTAAAAAATAAAATCAGTATCGAAATCCATGCCAAATTTCAAGATCCATTCTATCACGTTGCAGTCCTACCTTCATTGAGCAAATAACATAGGTTACACTGCCACCTCTGTCCACCGTCCACAAAGTTTACGAAAGGATTTATATATGTTCGACACCTTCGACATCTCGCAATGACTGTATCTGTGACAACTGGAACGGTATCCTAGATCCCCCGAAGTATAAGCAAAGTGTGTCTAGCATCATTTGCAAATCATCATACTATAAAAGCAGTGTACTTACGTCGCCTTCTTTCAGACTTCGATAAGGTGTAATGACGAGAGCAAATGGTAAGCGAGATTTATTCAGGAGAGACGAGGTGGCAGGTATTGCGTTCAAAGTGCATCTTTTGTAAGACGGGTCACAATTGGCATAATCGGACGTAGTAACAGATGCCTTTCAAATGAAATTGACAATATTATGTAAAATTAGTACACCCGTACACAACATATCGAACCATTGATTATTATTTTCCAAGGACATACGTTGGGAGGCAAGTTAATTGGTGGTGGCGGTGCATTCAGAGCGTTCACATCCGGTTGGGTGCCAATGAGATGAACAGGAATTAACGGGGACTTGCGGAAAAAAAATAAATTGATAACCACACCACCATAAAATATTAGTACATCTGCTATGCATCGACAACAACCCACCGATCTGCAAAAATGCACTCTACCGAATGCTGCCCGGTCATATTCATTTGTCCAAATTGATTTGCCATTCCAGCGACATTGGGTGCTGGGGCTACAGCTGGCTGCACATAGGCCTGAGAATATGCCGACATTGGCGTTCCTAATGTATTAGCGGCTGCGGGAGTAAAGAATTGTGGAGCCTGTGGCACTATATGTGGTTGCTGCTGCTGCTGCTGCTGCTGCTGCTGCTGACCGGGAATGCCAGGCATTGCCGGTGATGCTACTACTGCTGGTGTATATGTCTGATGCATAGGATCATATGGAGCGGATTCACTGTAGGCTTGTCCAATCTGCTTCGGATATACCCGTTTTTGTTTATGGGTATTAGCTGGCGGAGACGGAACACGCTGGACAGGTGCAGTTGATGCGGGCGTATCTGGAGGTGGTGTTAGAGCAGTGGATACCAAACCCGGTTGATAATTCGCCTGAGGTACACCTGATTGCTGGGTGGGATACCCAGGACGACCAGGTGAAGAGGGTGGCACCATACCAGGTCTGAAAGCAGGAGAAACGGGGGGGCGAGGATAGCCGGCATGGCCAGGCGAATTAGTTGGTACCATACCAGGTCCAAAAGCGGGAGAAGTCGGTGGGCGACCCACACTCTGCGCGATCGGCTGTCCTGCATGGTCTACTGGTACTCCTGGACGAAAATTTTGGGGAACAGGAGGGCGAATTTCAGGCTGCTGATTAGGTTGAATGTTGGCCATGGGGCTTTTCTCGGTAACAGTAACTTCTGCAAAAATTATTTCGTTTAATACCCAACTGTAGTCCACTCACGATTCAACACGAGTATATCACACAAAGCGGTTATCGTCCAATAGAAATATTATATCATGTGCCATATGGAAGTTTGATACTAATTGTAAATAGGCATCTAATACTAATACCCAATAATGTATAAATAAAGCGATTACTATATCAATACGCCCTTGATGCTTGTTATCTTTAGCTTATAGAAAAAATACATCTCTTAATGTCGAACTACACCCGATATCGTCTTCTGTTAATAATAGTTTGCTTTGCCTCTTTATTATTCTTGTATTATGTCTACTTTACAGGCGAGAAGGTTCCTCTTGATGTACGGGAGAGATTCTTCCAAAATGAATATTTAGATCCGCAACTAGATCCTTCGTTACGTCCAATAGGAAATGTGAGAGCCGCCCTCGTAGTCCTTACCAGGAATGAAGACCTCACAGAAATCTTGCGAACTATGAAACAATTTGAGAGTCGTTGGAATAGGAGGTATAATTACCCCTACATCTTCTTGAACGATGCAGAGTTTAACCAGAGGTTTAAAGACAGAACAAGTGCGGCGACGAGAGCCAAGACTTTCTACGGTTGGTGTAACAAGAATTTGATGAGTTTAATTATAGAATTAACAGCTAATGAACTTTGTACTTAGGTACGATTCCGCAGGAAATGTGGAGTTACCCGTCATGGATAAATCAAACCAAGGCTGCAGAGGCTCGCGACCAAATGGTCAAGGATAAAATTATTTATGGAGGTTCCGAATCGTATCGGCATATGTGCCGATTCTATTCTGGATTCTTTTTCCATCACCAACTTCTTAAGAAGTACGACTATTACTGGCGCATAGAACCAGGAGTCAAGTACAATTGTGACATTAATTATGACCCTTTTGCTTTCATGCAGAAGTACAAGATCAAGTATGGATTTACTCTGTCTCTCGCAGAATACAGAAGCACTATACCCACTCTATGGGACACTGTGAGGGACTTTATGGATGAGTATCCGAATTTGATAAATCCCAACAATTTTACACGTTGGATTTCAGACGACGATTTGGATAGCTACAATCTGTGAGTGAATTAGTCGTTTGCTTTGATTTTATTTAAAAGAACCTTGGTTTGGCGGCTAACTGCGAAGCATCTATATAGTTGTCATTTCTGGAGTAATTTTGAAATTGGTGATCTAAACTTTTGGAGAAGCGAGGCATATACAAAATTCTTCAATTACCTCGATAAGGCTGGCGGCTTCTTCTACGAGCGGTTTGTGTACACTTAAATCGTGCCCTAAATTTTTCCATTATCTTTGACGTGGGGCTAATAAAATTTTCCTTCATAAGGTGGGGAGATGCGCCAGTTCATTCGATAGCAGCGGCATTATTCTTGGAAAAATCGGATGTGCATTTCTTCAATGACATTGCATACAGACATGAACCATTCGAACATTGTCCTCCCGAACCAAGATATCATATTTCTGGCAATTGTCAATGCAATGTTTCGGAAAATTTCGGTGAGTATTGCTTTAATGGAATGATCTGTTACCTTCTACATGATTTGACTAACTTTTTGGTTCTTCTTATTAGATATGCATTGGTATTCTTGCACCAAAAAGTGGTTTGAAATCTGAGGGGGTTTTCTAGAGTTTGTTTGTAAATATCCATCATTTACGTTGAAATGATGTACATCGATCTCCCTCTTTTAAACCAATATTACAAGTTTTTACATTACAAGTTTTTACATTATTCTTTCAACTAACTTTAACACCAGCATGTAATAATTTTAAATTGATAATAAATCTGTTGGACATTAGATATGAGTATGGTATATGTATGGTCAAGTAAGTGTTCGGCCCCGACTAAGCTATGCGTGATAGCGGCAAACATGATAATTATTCTATCCACAATATGGCTTCGAAGGCGCCTTAATTTTTAGAGAAATTGGACATGTCACTATACTTGGTAAAACTTTTATTGCCTTCAGAGATTCAGTAAACAACGTTCTTTCTGAGCCTGTACCATTTACCTTTATTACTTCTTCGATTTCTTTTTTCTTTTTCTTGTAGAAGAAACTTTCGCGCTTTAACAATTTCGAAAGAGTTGCATTTGTCTAAACCTACACGAAAATGTTGAGAATCAAACGTTTAAAGAATACAATGCGAGCCTGGACTATTGGTTATAAATTTCACAGACTGCCATGATTGGACAGCGTATGATGTCATCACGCATTCACTTTCTTAGTACTGTATACTATTCGCTCGACATTTCAGACAGACAATATAAAAAGTATTGTTCATTAGTTCGTAATCAACACACAAGGCGGATTTTCCCAGACTTAATTTTGCCAATTGCAACTAGCATCACTCTACCCGTTTAAAGAGAAACTGATATTAAAATCTTTATTCTAAAATTAGACGTTCGCAGGACTTGCTGTCTATAACAATTAAAGCAAATGGAAAACAGACCAATAAGTTTAGAACGTTAGTATAAACAATGCATAATTATCTCTTTAGGGGCTAAAGGACATTCGCATCAGCGGTAATATGATCAAATTCAGATTTCAGAACAATATTATACGTCATAACAACCGCTTTCGAAATGGCGTGTGAGTAATCTCAAACGTTTACTTATTAATGAATTGTTACGGGAAAGTCGAGTAGGTAAGGTGAGTGAGTAACACAATTTTTACAAACTATACGTTAAAATTCATACGAAAGATTTTTATTAACAACCGCCTTTTGCGTAAGTAAAGTTGTTTGCAACAATGTTTACATATACGTCTGTAATTTGTTTCAATGTCTCTTTGATAGCTTGATCTATCAAAGCGATCAAAGCCAGCCTAACGATTCTAAAGATTTGTCTTTTAACTTTGATCGTTATAAATACAAAAACCCATATGCCAAGGTCAAATAAATATGTTGGAATATATATGTTTAAAATTTCGTAAAATTTGGTTGAGAAATGATAGAAACCAAATTTTTATGTCGGCTCTTTTAATTTAAAGCTTTTTATGTTTCTCGGTTAATGAATAACAATATGACTTCTCGATCAGAACTTACTCTTTTTGAACGCGGAGAAATAATGCGGCACCATTGAATTATCACCATCACATCTTGCCTATAACAGTCAGCGGGAAAAAGCACCGCAATTAACTGGGTCAATAGGGAAGGTCCTTTCAACAGTGATACAGTTAAAAAAAAAGATTCTTTTGGGAGGACGGGGCTAAAATCCAAATTTCTCAAAAATAAACCACATCCCGCAACGATTTAAAGGTTTGGGAGAAATGAATCGTCATATTATCGCAGAGCAGGGAAGACACATAAATTGAGAGAAGATTACAGTGACCCTGAAAAGAGCTCGAAATACTGTCCATAAAGTTATGGTGACATATTGTGTCCAGCAACAACAAAACTTCCTACTCGAGCAGGAAATTCAAAAAAAATTACCCCAAGAGACAGTAGATCATTAAAAAGAATACTCCAACAAAATAATCTGAATTAAATTAAGAATAACTTTACTACATCAACATCTAATATTGCATTAAGCCAAGTTTTTTCTGATTTCCCAAATTATTAATAATTCACGTTAATAATAATAATTTTACCGAAGTTGTCACGTGAATGTAGATTAATTGGTTCGTTTCTTGAATCCTGTTGATTGAAACGATTCGTTTTTTGCACACCAAAAATAATTTTTCACATACCATTGTATTGTCACAAACGATCGAAGTAATCAGGCAGTTTTGTTTACGAACCATACATCCATTTTTGTCTTTTCCCATTACAGAATTTCGGTAAGCCGAATAAATTGTCTCTTCCCCCGATCTTTTCGTCTTATCGAGTTTGCCTTGTATAATGAAGTTTAGCCACTTTGTGACTCGAAGCAATACCCGTGAATAAATCCTAAAAAGCTTTTGTTGGTGTGAAGACCCATTCGGATATAAATTACCAACATAACTAACGACTCAGTTCTCAACTCGTTTTTCAGAATCCAGGGGGTTTTCTTCTAAGCCTTGGTGGACAACAGTAGTGGCATTTATATGGCGCTCTTCAGCATCGATCAAAAAATTGTGGATATTAGTTTGTAAGTCAGCAGACATATTGATTAGTCGAAGAAATAAAAGCTTGTATTATTGGAATATATATCACTATAAAGTGACCAAAAAACACGTAGATATTGTCAACGTATTCATTTCTGTCAATTGGGACAGTGACCAGATTCGACCGCATTTGGTAGTCAAATTACCATCTAAGACGTCTAAGCAAAAGATCGCAAAATTTTCCAGGAAATGTACTTCAGGAGTTGAAAAACTTGCTGTATTCTAGAGGTGAGAGCCTCCTTGCTCCGCGAGTCAGGCCCTTTAGGGGCGCTTCCCAAAGCATCACTAATGCCGAAGAAGAGATAAAAGAAGCAGTAATCCTAGAGATATTAATTTGGTAACCAAAGTCGCGAAGATTTGCTCCTTCGCCGACCAGCAAATGATTTAACAACTGCGGAATGTAGAATTAATAACGTTATATTGGATGGCGGCGCAATCCTCTTTTATATTCAAGAAATTAGCTCAACGCCTTGGATTAAGAATAGACAAAAATGATCCTCCATCCCTCGAAGGAGTGTCCACAGATACTAAAGCAATTGGTTTGTACCAATTACGTGTACATTCGCAAATAAAGCATTGACTCGAGATACCGGTTTTACAATGATGCATGATTTAATAGTTGTTGATTACAATAAATATGGCTTGATCGTGCCGGAGGTAAAATAGACTATGAAAAGCGCAAGTTCCGAGTTGGTCATACGTTCGTATCGATCTCTGTTCATAAAACTCCCAATAAGGACGGAAAAAAAAGTGAGTTTGAACACCGTTCAACTTAGCAGAGATGGCAGAGTGGTACCACAGTCTGACGCGCGTAGAACGTGTGAACGCTGTGGAAAGGAATTTCGGTATTAAAACAGCATTTGAAA